AAAAATCTTAAATCAGATTTCATTATCTGATAAAGAATAAAAGATTAGGTGTAGGGTTTTTGAATTATAAGGACAATTTTGAAAAGATTGAAAATACAAAATGAAACAACCATTTTGGAGCTAGAGGAAGAAAATCCCACTTGAAGTCCATGTTAACCTTTCCAATGTTTCATCCTTTACCTCTAACATAACATTTCAGGGTGAATCTCTAAAAATTTTATTTTTAACCTTTTAACGTTTAAACCTTTAACTTTTCTAAAAATTTTATTTTTTAATAAATATATTTTTATTTTCTTCTCTCTTATTAAAAACACTTTAATAAATATTTTTTCACTTTTTTTTTCTTATTAAAGTTCCTCTACACCCTCTTAATAATAATATAATTTAATTTAAAATTTAAATATTATTTAATATAATTTTATATTTTAATAATTATTAAAATATAATTTATATCATAATAATAGTTATATTAAATAAATAAAAAATCAAATAATTAAAATAAAAGTAATAATGATAAAAATAAAAAATAAAATAATAATAACAATAATATAAAATTTGATTTAATATATTTAAATATATTAAATTATATTAAAATATTACAATAAATTAAACAGTTATTCAATTTTAAATAAAAACAAAATTTTTAAAAACTTATTTATTGGATACTGTAAAATATGTTAATAGTTTTTTATTTAAAATTTAATAAATATTTAATTTAATGAAAAATAATAATATTATTTATTATATTTTTCTAATTTAATAATTATTAAAATATTATTTATATTTTATAATAATTTATTAAAAATTAAAATAAAAAAACTAAAATAAAAATAATAATAATGAAAATAAAAATAGTATTCAAAATCACATTAAAAATATTTAAATATATTATATTATATTAAATATTAATTTAATTAAATAATTATTAAAATTTAAATGAAACATAAATTTAAAATCTGTTAATCGAATATAGAAATCCGATAATATATGAATTGGATATATCCGATTAAAAATTTTTTAAAATTTTATTTTTTATTTAATTTTAATAATTATTTAATTTAATTTAATAATTTAATATAATTTAACATATTTAAATATATAAAATGCGATTTTAAATATTATTTTTATTATTATTATTATTTTTAGTAATTTTAATAAAATTATTATAAAAATATACATTTTATTTTAATAATTATTAAAATATAAAAATATAATAAATAATATTATAATTTTCAATTAAATATTTATTAAATTTTAAATAAAAAAACTGTTAGCATATTTAAAATTTTTGTTTCAATTTAAAATTTAATAATTGTTTAATTTATTTTAATATTTTAATATTTTAATATACTTTAATATATATTAATATATCAAATCAAATTTTATATTATTATTACTATTATATTATTTCATTTTTTTTTTTATTATTATTATTATTATTTTATTTTTATTTTTTTAATATAATTATTATTATATTATAAATCATATTTTAATAATTAAATTTTAAATTAAATTAGATTATTATTAAAGTGGTGTAGGTGACTTCAATAAGAAAAAAAATAAAAAAATATTTATTAAAATGACTTTAATAAGAGGAGAAGAAAATAAAAACATATTTATTAAAAGATAAATTTTTTAGAAAAGTTAAAGATGCATGTGTGAGAAGGTTAAAAATAGAATTTTTAGAGTTACAGGATGACATGATCGAAGTGTAAGATAAAACATTCTAACTTTTTTCCTTTTCTCTTTGTAGTTCATAACGAAGTAGGCTTTTGCTTCCTGTATCCTATCATTTTCTTCTTACACCTTATCATATTATTTAATTTCTGTGTTATCCTTTAAAACTATTATAATCTATACAAATAAAACTTATACTCGTAGTGTGAGACAAAGGTTGGAAATAGACAGAAGAAGTTTTACGAGAGTAACGTAACAAATTAAACCTACTTGTGTGGTTGATGTGGTCAAAATAACGAGAAAATGAATGAAAAGAAGAAAGATACATCAAAGTTGAAACTAAACTCATCTAACCATGTTTAGAAAACATGCTTGAGGCAACGCGCAAATAACGATGCATCTAACACTACTCATTTGAACAACTCAACACTGATTGCTCAACAAATCATACCACACTCTTCTCCTTCCTTTCTCTCTCTCTCTTCTCAAACTCTTTTGTTCTTCTTTTCAAAGAAGTTCTTAGTCTCTCTTTGATTCACAGGTTTAATAATACAACAACTCTTCCTTCGACTTCTATGGATCACATCTCAGCAATGGATTATATATATATAGTCTTATCTGAATATATTTATATAAAAACGTAATAGAATTGTGAGAGTCTTAATTTCTCATATTCTCATTGGATTTAAAACATGTTACGAACAGGTTTGAAAAATATGTCACACATTAATTGCTGCTGCTTTTCAACGGATTGGTTTCATCGGCAGAGATGAAACCACTTGGTCAGTAATTCCTATTCTATTTGAACCTGTGCATGCGACTGAAATCAAAATGTGGAAAGTGGTTCCTTTCTACTAAACATTTATTTTTAAAAAGAGAAAATTATACTAACTCTTTTTCTTCTTTTTTTCTGGATTTTTATTCTTATTTAGACTCTTATAAAAATCGTCTCACTAACACTTACACATTTTTCAACTTTTTAGGTTGTTTTCTTGACGTGGCTGTCTTACTCCTGTAACAGATTATGTGTGCCATTGTTTCTATGCTCACACCCTGTAAGTTATTAAAAATTGCTAAATGTCATCAATTCCACTGTTTTCCTCGTATGCTAAAAATTGATGTTACCTTCATGTTGGCCCTTGCTGTTGACACTGGTTCAAATATGGACTTAGCCTCGTCGTTTAGTGTCATTCTTTTTCTGGACTGCTTCTTCATTGTCACTGTATAGTGTGTTTATGTTTATTCTGTTTTTTAAGATATATCTTCTATTCATCCTAGAGGATAGAACTGAATGAGAGAGGAAAAGAGTAACATTGAACAAGAGAAGGAGCTCAGAACAATATAGACAAAGATAGAGATGGGGTTTTGGGAATTGTTGGAGGTGGCTTCTGCGCCAGTTATTGAAGTCCTACTTATCAGTGCAGTAGGAGTTTTTATGGCAACAGAAAGTTGTAATAATCTTCTTTCACCAGACTTTAGAAAATCCTTGAACAAGGTAAGAGACTATCTGAATTAAATATCAATGAGGTTTGAATTAAAAATTGTGAAGAATACTTATTTGTGCAATGCTCTTCCATCCTATTTTTCCTTATTGAACAGATCATGGACAAACTCTGCTTCATTCTTATCCAAACATTTTTTTTCTTTGATTTTGTGTATCCTTTGAGCAGGTTGTCTTCATTGCGTTCACTCCTTCACTTATATTTGCCAGTTTTGCCAAGAATGTTTCTCTTGACGAAATGATATTATGGTACACCATCACTATTTTTTTTGCTTTTATATACTCTGCATGCTGTGTTTTTTGTTCACTCTTGATTCGCAACGNATTATTTCATTTTTTTTTTTTATTATTATTATTATTATTTTATTTTTATTTTTTTAATATAATTATTATTATATTATAAATCATATTTTAATAATTAAATTTTAAATTAAATTAGATTATTATTAAAGTGGTGTAGGTGACTTCAATAAGAAAAAAAATAAAAAAATATTTATTAAAATGACTTTAATAAGAGGAGAAGAAAATAAAAACATATTTATTAAAAGATAAATTTTTTAGAAAAGTTAAAGATGCATGTGTGAGAAGGTTAAAAATAGAATTTTTAGAGTTACAGGATGACATGATCGAAGTGTAAGATAAAACATTCTAACTTTTTTCCTTTTCTCTTTGTAGTTCATAACGAAGTAGGCTTTTGCTTCCTGTATCCTATCATTTTCTTCTTACACCTTATCATATTATTTAATTTCTGTGTTATCCTTTAAAACTATTATAATCTATACAAATAAAACTTATACTCGTAGTGTGAGACAAAGGTTGGAAATAGACAGAAGAAGTTTTACGAGAGTAACGTAACAAATTAAACCTACTTGTGTGGTTGATGTGGTCAAAATAACGAGAAAATGAATGAAAAGAAGAAAGATACATCAAAGTTGAAACTAAACTCATCTAACCATGTTTAGAAAACATGCTTGAGGCAACGCGCAAATAACGATGCATCTAACACTACTCATTTGAACAACTCAACACTGATTGCTCAACAAATCATACCACACTCTTCTCCTTCCTTTCTCTCTCTCTCTTCTCAAACTCTTTTGTTCTTCTTTTCAAAGAAGTTCTTAGTCTCTCTTTGATTCACAGGTTTAATAATACAACAACTCTTCCTTCGACTTCTATGGATATCACATCTCAGCAATGGATTATATATATATATATATAGTCTTATCTGAATATATTTATATAAAAACGTAATAGAATTGTGAGAGTCTTAATTTCTCATATTCTCATTGGATTTAAAACATGTTACGAACAGGTTTGAAAAATATGTCACACATTAATTGCTGCTGCTTTTCAACGGATTGGTTTCATCGGCAGAGATGAAACCACTTGGTCAGTAATTCCTATTCTATTTGAACCTGTGCATGCGACTGAAATCAAAATGTGGAAAGTGGTTCCTTTCTACTAAACATTTATTTTTAAAAAGAGAAAATTATACTAACTCTTTTTCTTCTTTTTTTCTGGATTTTTATTCTTATTTAGACTCTTATAAAAATCGTCTCACTAACACTTACACATTTTTCAACTTTTTAGGTTGTTTTCTTGACGTGGCTGTCTTACTCCTGTAACAGATTATGTGTGCCATTGTTTCTATGCTCACACCCTGTAAGTTATTAAAAATTGCTAAATGTCATCAATTCCACTGTTTTCCTCGTATGCTAAAAATTGATGTTACCTTCATGTTGGCCCTTGCTGTTGACACTGGTTCAAATATGGACTTAGCCTCGTCGTTTAGTGTCATTCTTTTTCTGGACTGCTTCTTCATTGTCACTGTATAGTGTGTTTATGTTTATTCTGTTTTTTAAGATATATCTTCTATTCATCCTAGAGGATAGAACTGAATGAGAGAGGAAAAGAGTAACATTGAACAAGAGAAGGAGCTCAGAACAATATAGACAAAGATAGAGATGGGGTTTTGGGAATTGTTGGAGGTGGCTTCTGCGCCAGTTATTGAAGTCCTACTTATCAGTGCAGTAGGAGTTTTTATGGCAACAGAAAGTTGTAATAATCTTCTTTCACCAGACTTTAGAAAATCCTTGAACAAGGTAAGAGACTATCTGAATTAAATATCAATGAGGTTTGAATAAAAAATTGTGAAGAATACTTATTTGTGCAATGCTCTTCCATCCTATTTTTCCTTATTGAACAAATCATGGACAAACTCTGCTTCATTCTTATCCAAACATTTTTTTTCTTTGATTTTGTGTATCCTTTGAGCAGGTTGTCTTCATTGCGTTCACTCCTTCACTTATATTTGCCAGTTTTGCCAAGAATGTTTCTCTTGACGAAATGATATTATGGTACACCATCACTATTTTTTTTGCTTTTATATACTCTGCATGCTGTGTTTTTTGTTCACTCTTGATTCGCAACGGAAAGCCTGAGAAAATATTCTCTAAATAGGAAGAAGATAGTTCTCAGCTAGAGTTTAAAAAGGGGCCTTCTCCTATCGACACCACAAACAAAGCATATAGCATGCACAAGTTGACTATGATTTTGTTATCTTTGTCTCCAATAATCGCAATGAGACAACCATTTATGTAGATTTGAAAAAGCACAAGAAAAGAAAAATTGAAAAGAGAAAGGGTATATATACAATCGTGTCCGCAGAAGGGGAATGGTTCTCTTTGTTTGTTTATGCTAAAAGTTAACCATGTCTTGTTTAATCATTAATGCAGGTGGTTTATGCCCGTTAACATTGGACTTACCTTCTTAATTGGAGGGATTCTGGGATGGATAATTGTAAAAGTACTGAAACCAAACTTGAAACTGCAAGGGCTTATTATTGCTTCTTGTTCAACAGGTACCATAGCATCAAAGTTGTGGTACAGTCGGCAAGAGTAAAATTTGGAAGGAATGGTGAGGAAGTTGTGAGAATTAGCAATGTGCCCTAGACATGGATGCATGTTTTTTTTTTCTGTTCTCACTCAATGGTTCCATTTTTCACTCCTACCAAACAGTCATATAATTGTGTTACCAACCCTTTATCTAAAGCCTCTCTTATAAATGTAACAAAAAAAGAAAGCTCACATTTAAATGGTGCATCTTTGATCAGGAAACATGGGTAATCTTCCTATTGTAATTATCCCTGCTATCTGCAATGAAAAGGGAGGTCCATTTGGTGAACTTGATGATTGCCGCAAGAGGGCTCTCTCTTATTCTTTTTGCTCTTTGGCGGTGATGCATCCCTTTTTACCCTTGATTTGCTTTCACCATCTCAACTTGTATCTGATATTATAATCTTTTATTAATTGTAGCTTGGTGGTGTCTTCATCTGGACCTATACTTACCAACTAATGCGAAACACATCCTTGAGATATAAAGCATTTGAGGCTGCCGAGATCTTAAAGATGCCCAACAAAGGCCTAGATGCTGATGAAGAAACTGGCTTTCTCAAGCGAAATGCCGGAGACTCAGCAAATCAAATTGTAAAATCATGAAGTATATATATCATTGCTATGTTTGTGTAGGAAGGAAATGAAAATATTGGCATGAAAACATTTTATTAAACATAATATGAGTGCTGAAAGTGGTCCTATATATTCTTTCTATCCACTCCTTTGTGAACTGCAATATAACTTTGTACAATCTCCTTTTTCTCAAACTGAAGTTGGTATCGGTATGTATGAAAATTCTCAACAATTTTCTGGATTATAAAATTAATCCAAAATTCCAAATGTGCAGCTTGTAGACCAATGTGCGTCCACTGTGTCTATGAATAGTGAAACATCTTTATGGCATAGAATGACGGAAACTGTTGGTCATTTCCTGACAGAACTAATGTCACCCCCAACAATTGCTACGGTGAGTTTCTTTCATTCCCTTTTATTGCTGTCAACTTTGTTCCTTAGTCTTTAAATGATCCTGAGAAATTACCTCCATGATCAGTTTTTTGGTTTTCTCTTTGGTGGGGTTGAATGGCTAAGGAATCTAATAATAGGACGCGAAGCTCCACTACGAGTGATCCTAGACTCCATTCAATTACTAGGGTATGTGCCTTTTCTCTCATAAAACCAATGGTCCAATATTATACATGTTACCCAATTTTGTTTACTGTACAAGCATTTCGTTGGTGTCTATAATTTTCCAACAGCTCATTGATTTGGACTAAGTTTATTCTTTCAGGGATGGTACAATTCCTTGTATCACTGTTTTGCTTGGAGGCAACCTTACACAAGGTATATCAAATTAACTTCAGTACAAATACTATCACTATTCAGCATATTTTAGACATCTTAGCTGAAGTTACTTTTTCAATTTTATGTGCACCAAAATTATAGGCATGCAGTCATCAAGTGTCCAACCATTGGTCGTGATATGTATCATCATAGCTCGACTAGTCTTGCTACCTGCCATTGGATTTTTTGTTGTTAGAGGGGCTGCAAATTTTGGTCTGCTCCCATTGGACCCTTTGTTTCAGTATGTGCTAGTGATTCAGTATGCCTTGCCACCTGCAATGAACATCAGTGAGTGATGCATTCATTATATACAAATATACTTTTTTTAACCTCTTTTAATGACTTAGATCATGTTTAGGTTAACTTCTACATAAAGTTTGGTTTATGTTAACGAGATTATACTTGTGAAGGTACCATGGCGCAGCTATTTGATGTAGGCACTGAAGAGTCTTCAGTTATTATCTTGTGGACATATGGTGCTGCAACTATTGCTCTCACTCTCTGGTCAACATACCTCATATGGATATTTTCTTAACATTAAGATAGGCGATGGCTTTAATATCCAACCAAACATATCGAAGGAGATGACACTCTCCTAATAGTTGTATACAGCTGAGAAAATTGTGCAGTAAGTTCCTTTTCAGCTATTTGGTTTCAGTGGTAGCTGTTCAAGAAGGATGGCATTTTGCATGATATTTACGTTCTAGAATGAACTACACCATAAACTATCTATGAAAGAAGTTAGCAGGTAGGGTAAAGATTCGGGTCATGTTCAATGGCCTTGATAAGGATTAGTGTGAAGTGGATACAAGCGTTTAGGTTTCTTCTCCAAACAAGTCTATTTATTCGTACCAAGTATTTGCGGTAAAAGGTGTAGAAAATTATTCTATGTTGTAAAACTGCTTCATGTTATTATATTTGAGTCATTCTTTTACTGAATTTAAAGTAAATTGCATCAACTTTCTTAGCATTTTGTACAATATATCTTTTTTCAATAAATCGTGATTTTTGTAAATCATATGTAGTGAGAATTGTGATTTTGTAAGAATGATAATTGGTGATACATTTTCTAAAAGTATTTAGGTGAGTTTAACAACATAGTGTTTCTATAAAAATAAACGTTTAATTACTAATTGCATTGTAAATGATTTAATAAGGTTAATGTGATTTTAAAACTTGAAAAACTTACAATTTTTGTGAAAAAAAGATTATGTAACACATTCTTGAAAACGCGTTCTTTAAGCATATCATGTTTCAATTTAAAATGGACCCAAACATAAAAAATAAAATTTTAACATTAATTAATAAAAAAAATTCCGAGTTCATTAATTTACTTTAATTTTTAAAAATTATTATATAAACTATGAGACCCTTTAAAATATACTTCTAGATGTACTAGGTTAAGTTATAAATAGCTGTCAATTTAGAAAAAAAGCTATGTGAAAAGAAAAAAAGTGGTTCTCTCCCTCAATTTTCTTCCTAGATCTTTGGATTTCCTCCCGTTGATATCTCATTTGTATCTCATATGTTATTCGATCAAAAGTCTATTGTTAGAATTACCGCGAAGAGCTCTTCAACTCTATCCAATTAAAATTGCAAATAAAGTATGTTATTTTTTATTCTTTTTCGAGATTCAAAGTTGCGTTTTTTCAGTTTATTTGGGTTGCTGAGTTGCATGTGGCTCAACTCTATTCCAATCCACTTTTTTGCATGTTGATGATTCCAATGATGTAGTTGAATCATTGATTTGATCTCTTTATAAATATGGATAGGCGTTTGTGGGTAAAAGTTTGTGGAAAGGTGTTGAGAAGTCTAAGAATAGAAATTGAGGGGAGGAAAGGTAATTTTATCTATTTCATGTTGAATTTCATTTTTAATTGTTGGTTGTGCAATGAATTTATGTTTCTGAATCTGGAATTGCATTGTTTCTTTAAATTGAGTGGTTGGGTTGCATAAAACATGTTAAATTGGCATATTAAGATGGCTTGAAATTTGTGGAATTGGTTTCTTTGAATGAGAATTTGGGGTTTTTTGGTAAGATAAATTTGTATGTTTACTCGCTGGAAATTTGTTTGTAAATTGAGGTATAAAAATTTTAAGAAAATTGGGATTTTATATATGTTTTTGTTGGATATATATCAATGAACTTGCGAATTTGATAATTATTGCTGGAATGACTTGTTTCAATATGATTTTCGAAGTGTTTAGGCTTGTGTAAAGCATGATATGCATTATTGGTATGGTTGACATAGATACTTTGTAAGTTTTTGTTATTTACATACCTTTTTTTGTTATTTACAGATCATTTTGGATCTAGTAATCAATTACATCCTATTAGTAATCAATTTCGAGTTGAAAAATTGTGTTATCTATAAAAATGTGGCTCTAGTAATTGATTATAAATTGTTGGTAATTGATTACCAGTTGCAAAGCTGAGTTTTTATATCCTGAGTCATTTCAAAAAAAATTTAGATTTTCAATTTGTTAATTGTCGGATCGAGCTGAAATTTTGAAAGTTAATACTATACACAAGATTCTTCACTTTTATAAGTGAGATCGTTGATTTCAGGTTTGTAGTTAGATTAGTTAATTTCTCATGATTGTGCATATTTTAAATTTCTTTTTTATGAAGAGTATTTCCATTTGATGAGTTAGTAGGTTCTTATGTATAGTTGTGGTCTTGGGTTGATCTTGTTTCAAGAAGGCTATTTCAGTATAAAAGAATGTGATATATTGTTTTGTATGTTATGTTTTGGTAGTGGTCATATTCTTCCTAAGGAAGAAGGGTGAGTCAGATTTATGTGTTATACATTGACTAGACATGTGTTAATCATAAGTCATTCTCTACTCTATTATAGGCTTACAAACTCATAGAGTGTATAGTCTAAGTAGTGAAAGTTAAATGTTATAATATAAGTTAACTTACCATGTATAAAGGAATTTTATAATAATATTATAAATTTATTAGGCCAAGTGGAGTTAGAGTTATTATTGCAGTTAATGTTTTATGACAGGTGCAAGACTTCTTGTATATAAAATAAATGCATAAATTAGGATAATCAAATCTAGGTTATGTCTGTAAGTGTTGATGAGTTTATCTTGGGGTTTTAGGATGATAATTTGCTAACTGTGATATTTTACTATGCAAACATTTTATGTAAATATGTTTAAAGTTATAATTAGTTTATCTTTTTTATTTGTATATAATGATCGTGTATATAGTGTGAGTAAACAAAGTTATATGTGTTGAGATGCTAATCAGTAGGTTGAGGACTATTTTTGGAGTCATATTGAAGTGAAGTATGTAAATATACATGATATGGTTTAATTGATAAATCTTGTTGCTTAGAAAGATTTTGGCAATGATATATTTTGAAATATTTTAGTTTAGGGAAAATGACTACAATATATATTCTTCTGTAGATGTTAATAAATCAAGATAGTAGAAATACTCTATTTTCTTAAAATATTATATAAACAATTCTCTTTAATTTAATTTTAAGAAGTTCAATTTTATATTAAAATAGTATTTGTAAATAAACAACTTCTATATTTCCAAGACTAAAATTTCTTTCTTATACCGAATGTGTCCTTAAACATAATTACTATACAATCTTTCTTTCTTATTGAAATATATTCTATTATCATAACATATTCAAATAAAATTTAATTTTTACTCCATTTAACAAAATCATTAAAATTTGGGTAGTTTCTGCTAAAAAAAGTTAATGTTACCAAATCTGCTTACACTAACACTTTCTTTTCTGTTATATCATGTTCTGTGTTAAAAAAGGAAATATTCCTTTTCCTTTTTACAAAATGTGTGTATAGTTCATTTTATTCTATTTCATTTTTTTGTTAAAAAAATGCTATGTCTAAATTATTAATATAATACGATTCTCTTTAAAACTGAATTTAACTCAGATTGTTTAAATCGATTTTTTTAGGCAATGTTTAGTAGGAGTTGGATTTGGTAGGATTTAAAGCAAATCCATTTATTAATCCACTAAAAGATTATTTGTTTGGTTTAAGTTTTTGTATTTTTTTATCTTAAACTCGAGTGAATTGAATAAAAAAGTTAATTTTTTTCCCTTTTTTATTAAAAATAATTGTGATTTTCAAATATTAACATAATTAAAAAAATATCATCATTTTTTTTTATAAACGACTATAAATAAGTTAATAAGTGAAGTAATAATAAGTTATCCAAACTAATTTAAAACACCAAAATGGAAAATATATCACAATTTATCTCACACAACAAAATTTATTAAAAACTGTAAGAACAAAGCTACAACAAGAAATTTCCTTACTAAAATCACTTCCTCCAACAACCACTAGAAACACGGTAAACTAGTTGATACTATAATAAGTTAATCTCACACAACAATAACGATTTAAAATCCAAATATAACACATCCAACTTAAGAAGAATCAAACAAATTATATAATAATAATAATTTTTTTTATTTTTCTTTTTACAATTTTCTTGGAAAAAGGGAAGATTTTTTAAATAAAAAGTTATAATAAAGTAAAGTAATTTAATGTAATTAATTAAAATTTTGAGATTAATTTT